TATATCTGTTTTCTTTGAGGTAGAATTAAAGTTTCAGTTTTTTAAAACTTTAAATTAACTTTACAATGTTAAAATGGTTTAAACGAACTTAAACAAATTTTTGTAAATGAACTTAATCCTCAAAGATTAAATTTTTTTTATTATTGAAGAAATTAAACTAGATTTAAGAATGAGTCGACTTAAATGTTTGTTTGTTTTTCTATTTAGATGATGACAATATTGAAGCAAGTAAGTTAAAAAGCATTTTTAAATTTTTAAAAAGAAATAAAAATACTTTTCAATATATATCTGTTTTCTTTGAAGTAGAATTAAAGTTTCAGTTTTTTAAAACTTTAAATTAATTTTACAATGTTAAAATGGTTTAAACGAACTTAAACAAATTTTTGTAAATGAATTTAATCCTCAAAGATTAAATTTTTTTTATTATTGAAGAAATTAAACTAGATTTAAGAATGAGTCGACTTAAATGTTTGTTTGATTTTCTATTTAGATGATGACAATATTGAAGCAAGTAAGTTAAAAAGCATTTTTAAATTTTTAAAAAGAAATAAAAATACTTTTCAATATATATCTGTTTTCTTTGAGGTAGATTTAAAATTTCAGGTATTTTAAATCATATATATTATAAGATTTAAGAATGAGTCGACTTGAATGTTTGTTTGTTTTTCTATTTAGACGTTGGTGATAATATCGAAACAAGTAAGTTAAAAAGCATTTTTAATTTTTTAAAAAGAAATAAAAATACTTTTTAATATATATCTGTTTTCTTCAAGGTAGATTTAAAATTTCAGATTTTTAAAATCATATATATTATAATATTAAATTCTTTTTTACTTTAAAAATATCTATATTATAGTTACACTGAGTCGTAGAAAAAAAATTAAACTTTATTAATAAGGTAGTAGATTATTGGAGTAGATTAAATTGTTTGATCTATTAATCAACTTAATAGCGTACTATTAATATGAAGATTTATTTTGGTTGGCTGTTTGTTAAAATTTAGTTAGAGTTTATTTAAAATTTAAATTCTTTAGTTTATCAAAAGAGATCTAATAAAGGTATTAATTACATTAGTTGAATGTGGCATTTAATATGTATTTTATCGATATTTTAACATCTAAACATTAAAGTGCTTTTATTGTTTCAATACAGAAGTGAAGAAGGAAAAAAGTTAGTGTTTTTGCTATTAGATATTTGTTAATAGGAATTTGTTTATTTGTACTGCCACTGGAATTTTTAAAAATCAACTTCTTTAGCTTTATTTTATACTTTCTTTTTTTGGAAGTTGGAACAAAAACTAAGTATAAATTATGATAAGTTTAATAAATAAAGCATTAATATTTAGAAGAATTAAAGTTTACTTTAGTTTATAGTTTTGGTTTAGTTTATAGTTTTGTTTTTAGCTTTAGTTATTTTTTTCTTAGACAACTTTATGGATGAAATGAGGGGGATGGGTAAAACAACTATTTAGATATGTATATATTTATATGTTAACATTATTTTATCGATTATTTTATATTTTTTTAAGTATATATTTGTCTTTAGTGTCTGGTGGAAGTATAGCTGGTAGGGCTGTGTTTTATATTTTATATGTTTTGTACGGAGAAATATGTGCAATAGGTGGAAAAATTAATTAATAAATATGAAACTTTTGAACTGGTTGCATTATTGCCCTATATATTTATTAAAATACAAAATGTTGCATGTTTAACCTTTTTTAATTTGCTCTCTCTTTTTTTTTTTTAGCATCTTTTGTTTCAAATGAAAATGGTGAGTTTATGCTATTTTTTTTTTTAAATAATTGCAAATGTATAATTTTTATTATATTCTTCTATTTGTAACTTTATATTCCTTATCATTCGAAGAATACAAAAATTACCGCTCCCAACACCCGGGACCTCTCTCAGAGAGGTCCTTCAAAAAATGGAAAGATCATGGCGGAATGGATAAGCCCTCCTTTAAATGGAGGGCTCATCCGTACCGGGGTGTTAGGAGACACCGAAGAAAAAACAGCAACCAAAAGGTTGTAAATGTCTTCTATCAGTAGAGATATTTATGACTTTTTAGTTGCTGCTTTTTCTTCGGGTTTTTTTTTTTTTGTAATTTTTTGTTTCGGTGTTTTTCCTTTACATTTTGTAATTTTTTTTTTTAAATATATATTACGTTGTATATTTGATTTGTTTTGATCTTTTTTAATGAAAATTTTAATTGTTTTCTCACCAATTAAACCTGACTTCAAATTTAAAGCCCTCTTAAATACCCCTCCCTAAAATCTAAAGTTGAAAGTTGAATCGATTCATTATCTAACTATCATAATATAATGATGCTGCATTCTTTTGTTAAAAACAATTATTTGGTATGTTTCATTTATTGAACTCACTGCTTTTAAAATTTACCAAAACCCAAGGCAATATATTTAGCTATATAAATACAATTTATTTATCTCGATTCCATTCTTCATCTTTTATGTTTATAGTTTGGCTCCTTGAAGCATTTTATGTTTTGCTTTTTTTATTATGAGTATTTTAAATCCGTTGTGATGTCTTTTAAATTTACTAAAAGCCAACATAAAAACTACGTTTTTGAACAGCACCAAAAAGAACAGCTGCATCCCTACAGCAACTGCTGCAGTATCACAATAGGTTACCAAAAGCAGGTATACTGTTTTCCAGTTGTTGTTTTTTTTTTCATATATATCTACTTATCTATATAATACTATAGTACGATTGTTTATATCTCATTCATTTTTTCTTTAAGTGTCAATAATTTTATTCTTTGAATGAGATTAGTTAAACAAGTCGGCTTTCCAATTCAAGATATTGGTGCCAAAATTGAACACCATTAGCAAAATGCTAACAAAATTAGGTAGTTTTTAAAAATCTATTTTCTATTTAATACACTTTTTTTTAAATATACTTTTTTAATATACTTTTCTATAACAATCCTACTATTATGGAATCACGTAGCTTTCTAAATATGTTTAATTGTCGTCCCTATCGGTAATAAATATTTTAAATTATTTGATATGGTTTTCTTTACAATAGGCTACGCTTGGCTCCTCGGTGCTGTAAATGGTGGCTTCAACTTAGTTTTTGTAAGAAAAATGCGTTTTATATATGCCTCTGTTTTAAAATATTTTTGTTACATATTTAACTATATATCATGTAAATAAATTTCTTTTAAAGATATGTAAACTTGATACTTGCTTTTTTACGAATTTTCAAAAAGTGAACAAAGCTTTAAATATATTTTTTAACTGTCTTATATGATTTTATCAATTTTATTAAAGCTGAATAATTACTTAAAAATATTGGGTAAAATCCAATAGCTTTTATTATTAACCAGATCTGTACAAAAATTAATGAAATAAAAATAATAGTTTAACGTCAAGTTAAGGCAAAATGTATTCCGTACATTTTATAAAATTAGTATAAATATGGATTTGGATAAATATGTTGATACACGTTAGCTATTAAAGTAAATCCATATATTCCTTTATTATTTTTTTATAAACAAGTTTCTGCTGGATTACTAATTAAAAAAAAGTTTGGTTTAATAATAATCTTTATCATAATAATATAGGATCCGTATGCAGGGCTAAGCCCTTTTTGGAAATGCGATATATTTTTTAACTTATAGTTTTTCCGGATATCCAACTTCTATGCCTACAAGTTTTGGTGTAATATTTTAGATGTTTTAAAAATATTTAAAAAGTACATTAATAACACTAAAAAGTTTAGGTGCGATAGTGACATATTTTTAAGCTCTTCACTCAGTAAAATGAAAAGTTTAAAAAAAAAGAAACGACTTAGCTTAAACCAAAATTGAGAGTAGAATATATTCCCAATATTTACCTAAACAATTTTACGGAATTTGAAAATTTGACATCGATGTTCTGTGCATATAATTCAAGTCATTTTTAATTACTACATGGTTGTGATTTGCGCATTCAATGTCTGAACATTGCAAAAGAAATGGTTAACTTTATCTTTAATGAAGCTAAAAGTTCTCTTAAACTAAGAAGCCAAGAAAAATAAAAGTGAGCTTAACTAAAAAAATGTATAAATAAATTTATATTTCATTAGAGAAAGTAAATAAAGATCAAATTGTTAGTAATTTTTTATTTACTACTAACTCGTATTACGGGTTGCTTACTGTATAAATAAATTTACATTTTATTAGAGAAAGTAAATAAATATCAAATTTTGAGTAATGATTTATCTACTACTAACCCGTATTACGGATTGCTTATTGCTAGTCAAAATTAATGAGAATTTTATGTGAACGTACTTCTTGGAAAACATGTAGCATTTAAGTTCCAGTAAAAAAAATATAAATAAATTAAAATATCTAACTTTGAAATTATAATTTGTATAATTTCTCCATATTTGAAATTACAATGTGTATTATAATATTTTCTCGTGAAAAAAAAAATGGCGCTCAGTAAATTAGAGATAATACTTAAGTATACTAAGATATACGGTAAAAGTCCGTAATTTACTTCTCCTTATCATAAATACGGACAAAAACATATAAAATATTTCAAAAGGCTTAAAAGTACGGTAAAAGACCGTAATTTATTGGAAACGGCTTTTTTCCGTTACTGAACAACGGAAAAAGTCTGGTAAATACAACGGAGTTTTTTTACAGTGTATATATATATATATATATATATATATATATATATATATATATATATATATATATATATATATATATATATATATATATATATATATATATATATATATATATATATATATATATATATATATATATATATATATATTTTTTTTTTTTTTTCCATATTTTTTTTACAACTACATAGCTTTAACAAAACATACTTTTATTACAAATAATTTTTACAGTATATACTTTTATTACAAATACAGTCAAAATACTTTAAAAATAACTGAAATAATACTAAGATATATTTGATGTACAAAGTAATAAAATAATGTAAAATAGTTTTTCAGTTAATATTTTGAAAAGACAAAAAAAGTGTTAAAAAAAGAAAAATTAAACCTTTAGTTATGTAGGAAAACTCGCAGAAAACTGTGTAAAGTCTTGTCATCGAGAATTTTTTTTTTAAATAATTTCATGAGATACTCATAAATATTTTATTCATTACTTATTACATTTTTCAATATAATCAGTCGTGTTTTTAGGAAGGAGCATAACATAAACTAGTATGTATATATGTATACTCATACTTTATTTTTTATTAATTTCTTTTTTTTTTTTTTTTGTACATGATTTTGATTTTTTAATTACTCATAAGTTATTAGAAAATATCCATATAACTGCTTGTATTTAAGACAAGTTTTTTAAGATAAGATTTTAAGGAATTTATATTTTTCAGGAGAGATATTGAGGAATTTTTTGGTATTAATTTGTTATACAAGTAAGGACCACGATATGCTATTGAGAATTGAGACAGTTTTCTTTTTTTCAGGGGTACTATATAGTTTCCAGTTGCTCTAGTGCTAAATTTGTTTATATTAGTTTTAAAAAAGTTATTCATAAATTGAACATAAACAAAATATTTTGATATATATTAATTTGGTATATGTTTAAAGCATTCATCTGTTTTAGTAATGGGTTTGCGTGAATATGTTTGTTTTTATAAAAAATAATTTTTGAAGCGAGTTTCTGTTGTCTATAGAGTGAACTTAATTTAGTTTTATGGGTACTTGCCCATGCTATATTGGCATATGATAGATAGCTGTGTATAAGGGAAAAATAAAGAAGTTTTAAATTTTCGAACGATAAATAATTTCTTGCTTTATAGATTAGACCAATGTTTTTTGAGACTTTTGTAATAATGGTATTTATGTGAGAGTTCCAGGAAAATTTCTCGTCAAGACGCACACCAAGAAATTTAAATGATTAAGTTCGTTCAATAATTGTGTTGTCTATAGTAAGAGTTGGTAAAATTGATGGGATAGCCATTTTTTTTGGGTTGGGGTGAAATAAGATGTATTTAGTTTTTTTTAAGTTTAATGACAATTTGTTAGCTTTGAACCATGTGTTAAGTTTAATAAGTTCTAAGTTTGCGGTTATAAAGAGGTCACTGATTGAGCTAGAAGAATAAAACAGATTAGTGTCGTCTGCAAAAATTATGCAATCTAACTTAGATGAGACTTTAGGGAGGTTGTTGACATAAATTAAAAATAGAAGAGGAGCTAGTATAGATCCTTGAGGAACCCCACATTTGATTTTTAGTTGTTTCGAGTTGTTATAGTGATCTATGGTAACACGTTGTTGTCTGTTGTCTAGGTAGTTGGCAAACCATTTTATAGTATGATTTTTTATGCCATTTTTTTCCATTTTTCTCAGTAGTATTGTGTGGTCTACTGTGTCAAACGCCTTTGTAAGATCAATAAAGACTCCAAATACAAATTTTCTATCATTAAAGGAAGTTGTAATGTTATTAATGAGATCTAGGGTAGCATGTTCTGTTGAATGTTGCGTTTGAAACCCGTATTGATTTTCTCTTAAGATTTTGTGTTCTATTTAATATTTATACAGTCTGTTGTAAATTATTCTTTCAAGGAGTTTAGAAAATAAAGGAAGAATTGAGATTTGTCTATAATTGCTAATTGCATATGTATCTCCACCTTTAAATATAGGTACAACTTTTGCTATTTTTAATTTGTCTGGGACAATTCCGTTTTTGATTGAAGAGCTGAAGATATTAAAAATAGGCTTTCTTATTACAAAAAAAATATAAAGCACAACATTGCCAGAGATGTCATCAATACCTGGGGCCTTATTCTTTTTAATTGATTTGATTGCTGTTTCTAGTTCATCAAAAGTTAAATTACTATCTGGCAATGAGCTTTCAAAATCGCTAAAATAATTTTGATACGATGTTTCTGCGCCTTTTATTTTTGATGCCAGGTTTAGACCAGTGTTTACAAAAAAATGATTAAATATTTCTGATATATCTTTTTTGTTTTTGTATTCAATATCGTTTTCCGTTATTCTGGAGGGTAAAATGTCAGATACAATTTTATTTTTACCAATGATTTCTTTCATAACTTCCCACGTTTTCTTTATGTTACCATTACTATTTTTTAATTGTTGAGAATAATATCGTTTTTTAGATTTATTTTTTATTTTTTCAAACAGATTTTTATATTTTTTATAGGCATTAAGATTAGCTTTGTTTCTGTTTTTTAAATATTTGATGTATAATTTTTGCTTTTTTTTTGAAGATGTTCTTATTCCGCGTGTAATCCAAGGACATTTTAAATATTTTGTTTTGACTTCTATTTCTTGTATTGGAAAATGTTTGTTGTAATATTCAAGAAAGATGTTGAGAAATAGATTATAAGCGGAATTTGTGTGTCTAAGGTTACGTTCTTGGTATACATTTATCCAATTTATAGTTGATTAAGATTCTTTAAATTTAAGCAAAGAATGTTCATTCATTTTTCGTTTCAAGACTTTGATTTTAGAATTATCATTTATGGTTGCATGTTCAGCAAAAGAAAAGAAAATAGGAAAATGATCCAAAATATCAGTTTTAATTATTCCTGTTTTAATAGACGTATCTAAAAAAGAGTTATTTAGGATATTATCTATAGCACTAAAGGAAGTTGTTGTAACACGAGTTGGTTTGTTGATGAATGGGATTATGCCGTGTTGAAATATATTGTCAAAAAACATTTTAGTATTAGGGTGTTCACTGTACTTTAAACTATCTATGTTGATGTCACCGATGCAGAATAAACTTTTTTGTTCATTATTGCTTTTGATTAATATTTGTTGCATATAATCTGAAAACTGAATAACATCGCCGTCGGGTGGTCTATAACAAGTAAAAACTACAACGTTATTTGTATTTTTAATTATTATCTCAATTGCTAGAACCTCACTGTCTGAATTAGAGATCGAGAGGTCTTTTCTAATTTTGATATCGTGGTCATTACGAATGTAAACTAAAATTCCGCCTTCCCTTTTGATCGTTTTTCTCTCAGATGAAATTATTTTATAATTAGAAATCTAAAAATTTGAATTTTTTTGAGCTGACTCATCATCACACCATGATTCTGTGAGACAAATCATGTTAAATGAAAAATTTGATTCTAAAAGAAAGT